GTTCTGAAGACACTCCAGGAGAAACAAGCATATCTCCTGAAAGAAACATGAACTTGTTGTGGAGAAACATGAATTTCTCTAGGAAGAAACACGAAGTTCATGTAAAGATGGATTTTTCCAGGAAAAAACGCGGAGTTATCGTGAAGAAACAGGGGTGTCTCCTAGAAGAACATGAAGTTCTTGTGAAGAAACACCGATTTATCTAGGGAAAACCATGAAGTTCGTGTGTCGAAACATGGCGTTATGAAAGCATGGATTGCTCTAGGAACAAACACGACGTTCTTGTGGAGAAACATAAGTTTCTTCAGGAACACACACGAAGTTGTTGTGTGAAAACATGGATTTCTCTCGGAACAAACACGAAGTTTTTGTGGAGAAATATGGGTTTCTCCAGTAGGTAACGAAAAGTTCTTGTGAAGAAACATGATTTCTCCAGGAAGAAGCATGAAGTTGTTGTATAGAAACATGGGTTGCTCCTGGAAAACAGATGAAGTTGTCGTGAAGAAACAGGGGTGTGTCCTGGAAGAACGCGAAGTTCTTGTAGAGCAACATAGGTTTGTCAAAAAAAAAACATGAGGTTCCTGTGGAGAAACATGCGTTACTGGACGAAAAAACACGAAGATTAACATGGATTTATCGAGCAAGAAACATGAAGTTTTTGTAGAGAAACATGAAGTTCGTGTGAAAACACATGTATTTCCGCAGGAATAACCATAAAGTTGTCGTGGAGGAACATGGGTTGCTCCGGGAAGAAACATGAAGTTCTTGTGAAGGAAATAGGGGTTTCTTTAGTGAAAAACACGAGGTTCTGGCGAATAAAGATGATTTTGTGCAGGAAGAAGAGTGTATTTCTCCAGGGAGAAACACGGAGTTGTTGTAGAGAAACATGGACTTCTCCAGGAAGAAAGATTCTTAGGATGAGTCCGATCCGAAACGATTGTACTATTTGAAACGAATTAGCTCAACACGGGAATTGAGTGGAATAGAATCTTTAAAAACAAAATGAGTATAGAATCTATGTTTTAGCGAGCAACTGTGTCTCACTGTCTCGCAAGTAAAACAATGCAGTCTCGAGATTTCGGCAGTGTCATCGCGTATGCCCCATTAAAGCTTTTACATTTTATCAGAAAGTGAGAATGCCCTTGAGTACCTGGAAGTATGTTTTTTATCACGGAAACTTTTTCTCAAATTCAAATAGTAATAACTGTGCCCCAGGAGCTCTCGTGCGAAAAATAAAACTAAGGAATTCGACAGGTTCAGTCAGACGGCCGACCGAGTAAAGGTATAGTCCAGAGTATCTTCTGAGAGAGCAGTTAAAATATTTAGTACCCCATATATTTATTTCACACAGTTATGTCTAGGAAAAAGCATACAAGAAAAGGACGACAGTCTGCCATTGAAATAATAAAAAGAAGTTCACGCTTGCTCATAATGTTCCTGCTATTGTCTCCGATGGTCACCAGGTTGTTGTTTATGACATTCGCAATAACAGCGATGATACTTTCCATTTGCATCAATATAAAACCAAACACGACCATGATCATAGGGCTCATAACAACATGGTCTTTGATCACATTGCGTACACATGTCAGATGTAGTTCTGCTGTTCTCGTATAGACTGTAACAAAGGTCAATGTAACTGTCATATTCTTCTCCTTTTAGTGTGGTGTTGGTAAAGTCAATACTTAAGATCATTTTAATTCTTAGGATGAGTCCCATCAAAAACGATTATGCTATTTTAAACGAATTAGCTCAACACGAGAATTGAATGGAATAGAAACTTTAAAAACAAAATGAGTATAGAATCTATGTTTTAGCGAGCAACTGTGTCTCACTGTCTCGCAAGTAAAACAATGCAGTCTCGAGATTTCAGCAGGGTCATCGCGTTTGCTCCATTGAAGCTTTTACATTTTATTAGAAAGTGAGAATGCCCTTGAGTACCCGGAAGTGTGTTTTTTACCAAGCAGGCACCGTTTTTTTCGCCGTTATTTTTTTCATAGGCTCATGTTTCTTCGACCAAATATCTGTTGAAAAAGAGTGTACATAAAATGAAGTAAACCTTACCTTTGTGCGTATGCTTGGCGGAATGAGAAGAAAAAATGATGAGAGTAACAACAACAACAGCAACATTATAGTCACGTCTGTCCTCTGCAAAACAACGCGAGCATATTTTGCCGTCATGCTTTATTAGTTTTTCCAACTCTGCCTGTCCTGCTTTCACAGTTACAAGAGGCAGCCCAATTTTTTCCTTTCCTTTCGTTTCGTTCTGATATTTACCAAGTAAGACGTGAGTGTTTTTAGTTTTTACCTTTACCACCGTCGTCGCTTATCTCCGCACGCTGCGAAAGAGAGAAGAGAGAAAGAATATTCGAACGGCATACAGGTTCCATTTATTTTCTCTCGATAGATTAATGTTCGCATCGAGACTTTTTTGTATGCACCTTAGAAAGAGTGTACCCCAATCTCAACAAATAAATTGCACCTCACCTTTGTGCTGGTGAATCACAGCGTCGAATGTTCTTTCTTTCTTTCTTTGTAATGTAATTGTCGGTGAATCTATTAAAGATAATTTTTCTATTTGTTGTTCAGTGGATGGATTACTAGACGATGCGTGGACTGATGAAGAAGTCGGTTGATTTGAATATTGTTGATTTAATTTGCGACGAATTGGGTTAACATATGTTTCAGAGTTAAATGAATACGAAGGTCGTTGATTGATATGTAATATATCATCCGAAAATTGATTCTGATCTAATTCACTACTCAAATGTTTTTGGATAGCTTCAGCTTCTTCTGCAATTTTTAGAAATTATTCTGATGTTTTTGGATTTTTCTCTAGTATTTTTTTCCTTAAACTTGGTCTTAAACTAGGAGTAAGCAACGTTAATTTCGTTTTATCGCTCATATCCGGATCAATTTGATCACACAATTCCATGATTTCAAAATAGCATTGTTTCAACTGATTGATTTATTGTTTGATGATAGTCTTTAATTTTTTGATAAGCTAATGATTGATCGAATCGGGACGTAAATTTATTTATTATGGTCGATTTAAAATCTTTCCACGTTGTAATATTATCTGAAACGTTTTCGAACCATTGTAAGGCATCACCTTTCAATAGTTGTGGAATAAAATCACACGTATCAATGAATGCACTTTTCCGAAAATGAATTTTACCTGTGTTTTATAGAAGTCTAATTTGATTGAGTGATTTAAAGCAAATCTGTTGTAAATGTGTATGTTGCATAAGTTCTTCAAGATACGCACATCGAATGACTGTGCGCAATAAATGAAATATAAGATCCTGTTCTTCTAGTGTTGATCATTGTTACTTCATTTTTATAATGGGTCCTGTGTAGTCATCTGATATAAATACTCCATGAATCTAGCGTCTAACGATGATATTATATAATTCTTGTATATTCTCCTTTGAAAATCAAAATAATTTGGCATTCTTTATAACTTGAACTAATTTTTTTAGGACTCATTTAACTATTACGTTATCAGGTCCACGGGATGCGCCTAACTACCATGATCTAGATATCGCCCGGACTAAAAGACTCCTCAAATGGCAAATACCCTTCTATACGATTTAAGAAAAATCACAAAAATTATTCGATTACATATTCTCAAAAAGATGAAGAAGAAACGATAACATGAACCGAATTGCACCAAAATCTGACAGTTCAGTACTAGTATCTCGTGTATTTCACTAAAATCGCACCGTTTAGTACTAATATCCCCTGTATTACAATAAGGTATTCAAATATCTAGAGAAATATGCTAATATCTCGTGTATTCAGTAGTAAAATACATGGGATATTAGCGGCATACACGAGACATTAGTACTAAAAAGTGAGATTTTAGGAAAATACCTTTTAGTACTAACGTCTGGTGTATTCCACTAATATCCCATGTATTTTACTACTGAATACACGAGATATCAGCATATTTTACTGTAATACAGGAGATATTAGTACTAAGGGTGAGATTTTAGTGAAATACACATAGATACTAGTACTACACTGTCAGATTTTACTGAAATAAAGCGGATATTAGCACCAAACCGTGAGATTTTATTGAAATACATATAGATACTAGTACTAAAAGGATTTTACTGACGGTATTTTCCTAAAATCTCACTTTTTAGTACTATACACGAGATATCACCATATTTCTCTTGATATTAGTATTCAAGGAGATTCTGGTAAAATACACGAGGCATTTGTGGAATACTAGTGATATTAGTACTACTAGGTAGGATTTTATTGAAATAACCGATATATTAATACTGGGGCGTGAGATTTTACTGTATTACAGGAGATATTAGTACTAAAGGGTCAGATTTTAGTGAAATAAAACCAGATATTAGTACCAAACCGTGAGATTTTACTGAAATACTCATAGATACTATTACTAAAACGATATTTGTGGAATACACGAGACATTAGTACGAAAAGGACAGATTTTAGTGAACAACGAGATACTAGAGTATTTTTCTAGATATTTGAATACCACAAGATTTTAGTAAAATACACGAGGTGTGTGTGGAATACACGTGATATTAGTACTAAAGCGTGGGATTTTATTGTAATACACGAGGTATTAGTACTAAAAGGTGAGATTTTAGTGAACACGCGAGATAACAGAGACGAGATATTATCACTAAGAGGTGGCCTTTTAGTGAAACAAACGTGATATTAGTGGAATACACGAGATATTAGTACAAAACGGTGAGATTCTAGTGAATAGACGAGATATCAGGGCATTTTTCTAGATACATGCAAAGCAGGAGATTTTAGTAAAATGCAAGAGATATTAGTGGAACACACGAGATATTAGTGAATAGAAAGAGATATTAGCGAATAAAAAGAGATATTTTAGTGAATACACGCGAATATCATCATATTTTTCTAGATATTTCAAAAGCACAAGGTTTTGCTAAACCACAGGAGATATCGGTACTTGAAGGTGAGATTTTAGTGAAATACACAAGATATTACCCAGATATCAGCCCGATATTTGCACTGAAAGGTGCGATTTTAGCGAAGTTAACGAGACTTTGACTTGGTGGTCTTGTTGTCGATGATCTCAAATCATTTGATGATTTATTAGCAAATAATTGTCGTAATTTTTCTACGCATGAACCATCACGTACAATCATTGATAACGGTCGAGTTTTGACTTCGTCATTCTTATCATCATTATCATCGTTATTAATAGTTGCAACACTTTTACTACGAGATAATAATGGACGATGATTATGAATCACATCAGATGTATTTTCAACTGGTGTCATAGTATTTATTGTTAGATCATTTTGTAAACGTAAATCCCATTCAGATTTATTTCTAGATATTTGAATACCATTAGATTTTAGTAAAACTAAAATGTCACCTTTTAGTAGTAAGATCTTGTGTATTTCACTAATATCTGGTGGTATTCAAATATCTAGAAAAATGTGGTAATATCTCGTGAATTCACTAAACTCTCTCGTTTTAGTACTAATGTCGCGTGTATCCCACAAATATCTCTTGTATTTTACTAAAATCTACCGATATTCAAATAGCTGGAAAAATATGCTGATATCTCTTGTACTCAGTAAAATCCTTTTAGTACTAGTATCTATGTGTATTCAATAAAATCCCACAGTTTGGTACTAATATCCGGTTTATTTCACTAAAATCTGACAGTTTAGTACTAATATCTCCTGTACTACAGCAAAATCCCACGCTTTAGTATTAATATCACGTGCATTTCACTAAAGTCTCACCGTTTAGTACTAATATCTCGATTATTTCACTAAAATCTCACCTTTAAGTACTGATATCGCCTGTGTTTTAGCAAAACCTTGTGCTTTTCAAATATCTAGGAAAATATGATGATATTCGCGTGTATTCACTAAAATATCTCTTTTTATTCTCTAATATCTCGTGTGTTCCACTAATATCTCTTGCATTTTACTAAAACCTCCTGGTTTTCATGTATCTAGAGAAATGCCCTGATATCTCGCCTATTCACTAGAATCTCACCGTTTTGTACTAATATCTCGTGTATTTCACGAAGAACTCAGCTTTTGGTGCTAATATCTCGTTTATTTCACTAAAAGGCCACCTCCCAGTGCTAATATCTCGTCTCTTTCACTAGGATCTCACGGCTTGGGACTAATATCTCATGTATTTTACTAAAATTTCACCTTTTAGTACTAATCTCTCTGTATTCCACTAATATCTGGTATATTTCACTAAAATGTCACCATTTAGTACTAATATCTCATGTATTTTACTAAAATCTCGTGGTATTCATATATCTTGGCTGATGTGCTAATATCTGCTTTATTCCGCTAAAATCTCACCGTTTAGTGATAATGTCTTGTGTAATTCACTAAAATCTTAGCATTTATTACTAATGTCTCGTGTATCCCACTAATATCTCGTGTGTTTTACTAAAATCTAGTGGTATTCAAATATCTGGAAAGATATGCTGATATCTCGTGTACTCATATCAGCATATTTTTCGAGATATTTGATTACCACTGGATTTTAGTAAAACACACGAGATATTAGTGGAACACACGAGATATTAGTGGAACACACAAGATATTACTATTAAAAGGTGAGATTTTAGTGGAATACACAAGATATTAGCAATTTTTCTAGGTATTTCAATACCATGAGATTTTAGTAAAACACACGAGATATTAGTGGGATACACGAGACATTAGTAATAAATGCTAAGATTTTGGTGAATTACACGAGACATTATCACTAAACGGTGAGATTTTAGCGGAATAAAGCAGATATTAGCACATCAGTCTAGATATTTGAATACCACGAGATTTTAGTAAAATACATGAGATATTAGTACTATATTATAAATTTTTTTGATCTTGATGCTCTGTCACGTTAATAAGAACGCTTTTGTGATTAAAGACAAGTGAAGAAAGGTAGAAGAACCTCGTTTTTTTCATTAATTCTCAACTATAAAAGCCTAGAGGTCATTCCCGCGTGATCAAGTAAAAATCCACGTGATACTTCATTAGCAGATCCTTTTATATACTATATTCTTTCATTTCTGCGGTATATGAAAACTGGGCGATAGGTTTTCCGTACGGAATGAAATGGTAGATCTTTTAAAAAAAGTTAAGTCTCAACAATGAAAACTAAAAAAGTTATTTAAATGAAAATAAGGGGATCGCCATTCTTTATGCGCCACCCGTTACATACATTCTGTTACGTTCCCATCTTACCCTCGCGATTAAGCAGTAATATCTCCTTTCAAAACACTTGCACCGATTTAATGAATAAAAACCTATATTAGATGAAATAAACCATTTTCCCTATATTTGAGTAAAATTAAAA